TATCGTTTTGAACCGCGCAGTTTCGAGTTAAGTTGGATCCCCATTGGATTGCCGTTGCCATTGACGGCAAGCACTGACTATAGATAGCGCTACACCAGCTGCAATATGTTTGGAGTTCTTAGATCAAAACACTTGTGTGGTAGATCAAAGCTTAGCAGCATGGTCATAGCACAATGGCCTTGCCTTGCAAAGCCCACACCCCAAAAAGAGACCTGGCCTTCGACTATTTGCACCATTCCCACAACTAACTATGAGCCCTGAACTTGCGAAACCAACAATCACGTCTTGCCAGATTTCTTGTGACGGGTCCTACGACCATCCATGGATTTGGATTTCTTGAACCCACCCTCAAGTACAGCTTTCTTCAGGGAGTAGTATTTGGTCGACCCGTCCGGTGGTATAAACACCTTGTAGGTCGATCCCTGCTGCTTCCCACTCACCCGCTTCCGCGTTTCAATCTTCCAACCATCCTGGACAGCAGCGACACCAATCACTTCGAATGTCCTTAGCTATAGCTATATATACTAGTACACAATATCGAGCTATGGTCGATTGAGCAAATATACATATAGCAGAAATGGATCGTACATATCATATGATGATCGAAGCTAAGACTCGTTGCTTCTTCTTTTTTCTTGTTCTTTGTTGTTTTTAACAGCTGAAGCTGTTCCGCTGGACAGGGAACTCTGCAATTGGCTTTTGACAATGCTATTTGTTGGATCCTAGACATGGTCACCTTGAAGGAATCATAAGGAAAGGCCTGGGAATTCTCCTTCATCACCAGCGTAGAATCCTGATCGATGAGAGTGGTGCTTGACACCGTTGTCAGGACAATGCTTGACACTCGAGCACATCAATTTATACAAGGCGCTTCGGTATTCTTTTTGGCGGGCTTGGATTTCTTGACCTCTTCAGGAATCGGCACCGGCGTCTCCACCTCCAACTCTTTAAAAGGGCTTCCTGGGCTGGACAGGTTTGGCCCAGGTTGATAAGTTGGAATCAACTATGGCTGGTGATAGGTGTTTTCTCGATCCTAGCTAGCAGTATGATCTATAAAGCTGGGATCTTGACGGACGGGGCTCTATAAAGTCACACTGATCGAATGATCGAAGAAGCCGCATGGTTAATTCACATACGAGACTCCCTTGCTCTTTGTCCTGTGCCGATGTCGAGGGGCAGGTTGAGCCACAGCTGCCTGCGGCTTACCTTTCACACTCTTTGGCTTGCCCTCTGCCTCTGCAAACAATGCTTCCGGGTCTTCTTTTTTCACCCATCGATCTAGCTTTGATTGTTTCTTTTTGCCTTTCCTATTTTGATTCGTGATTGGTGGAACTTCAAACCTTGCACCTGCAGTCATCCACCGTCTGATGTTGTTTTTTGGAAATTCTGTTCGAATGCGGTATACAGCACAAGCCTCCTGCTTCGGCCCTTCGCCATCCTTTGGAACTTCATTCTCCTTGGACTTGTTGCTGCTGCTGCTGTTGCTTGCGCCAGCGGTGGTGCTGGTTGAAGTGCTGGAAGTGCTGGAAGTGCTAGGCACGCGTTTGTCCGGTGAGCTGCAGGGCTCCATGGAGCTGATGCTAATGCTAGACGATGAATCATCATCCTCAGACTCAGGCTCAACCTTTTTCTTCGCCCTCGCCTTTGTTTCTGGCTTTGGTTTGACTTCATTCATCCTTTGCTCAATCTGCCTGGTAGACATGCCTGTGGTTGAAAAGCCAACCGCTGCAGCGCTTGGACGACCCTTTGCTTTTGCTTTCTCATTTGCTCTTGTCCCTGCTTTCACCTCTTCTATTTTATCACTTTTTCTTTTGCCATCAACGCTCTTCATCTCAGCGTCTGACTTTTCATTGCTGTCTTTGTCTTCTTTGCTTGATTCTTCTTGCGCCTTCGGCTGACTGATACCCTTGACGACCTTTGACTCTTGTAGTTTGCTGTGTTTTGCGCAGGCCTCATCTTCACTCTTCTTCGATCTTGCGTCGCCTTCATCCTGTCTTTGTTCCTTCTCTTCCTTCTCATCCTCCTCATCTGAGCTGACCTCTGGG